GCTCATTAGAAGAGGCTGAATTTGGACCTAGACTAAAACCTAACACCACAGGGCTGAGCATGCTTACTTGAACCTATAATGTTGCTAGTTCTGGCTCTCTGGGGAAGGAGAGGACGAGGGGAGAGGATTCAGCCTTCTTAATTGTGAACCTCATTAGTGACGGTTGCTAGGCAAAACACACACCTACTTTCCGCGCATATGAAAGAGATAAACAATACGTCATAGACCATAATGACTCTGGTGCTCAGGGCGACCTTTAATTATTATATTTTTGGTCTCTTATACCTTAGTTATTAATGCAGAAAAACAAATTAGGGTTGTGTGTGTGTGTGCGGACCGCGGCAGATTTGTAAATCACTTTCCATTTTTTGATGTCTAGATCGCGTTTCCTTCTGATAGTTGGTGCTCGCCTCATTCATTCCCTTCCCTGACTGTTGGTAAATACTATTTGAAACGTAAAACGACAGTGATTGTATTAGCAGCTTAGTATTGTTACCACATTAATTAATTTTATTAGTGTAAAAAGCCATGATCCTGTCAGTGGGTTAGTAACAACTCGCAAGAGAAGTCCTGTGGAAACTGGTGTCTGCGGCCCAGCAAGTCAGGTCATACGTCAGGTCATAGCAGGTTGGAGAGTCTAACTCTTCCAGAACTCAAGATGCATTAAAATTAAATGTATTTAAATTTTGGGCAACACTAATTTATCCAGCTTCAAGAAGTTGGACTGGATGATCCTTCCAACTGAAAATATTCTATTCTATTCTATTCTATTCTATTCTATTCTATTCTATTCTATTCTATTCTATTCTATTCTATTCTATTCCATTCCATTCCATTCCATTCCATTCCATTCCATTCCATTCCATTCCATTTTGTTCTGTCCTATCCTATCCTATCCTATCCTATCCTATCCTATCCTATCCTATCCTATCCTATCCTATCCTAAATTTTATTAAACAGATGCTCCCTGAGAGCTGGTTTGCATCCTTACACTGGTTTATTTTACAGTCCAAAAGAAGTGATATTTAAATCCAAATGACTATTTTGGGCTTTGCAGGGCAATAAATACATAAGTGCATGTGTCCAGGCGCAGCTGCAATTGTGTGTGAGTGATTCAGGGGCTGATGGGCTCCAAAAAGATAGGATTTCACAATTCTGGATTTTCAGAGACACTTTCCATTCTCCTCTTCATCTCAGCCTATCTTCTTTTAGCAGTTCAGGCAAAAAGTCAATCACATTGAGTCAGGCTGAAGAAAAACATTTTATGCTGTTTTTCTCATCCAAACCCCCTCCTGCCGTAATCTGCAGTAAGGCCCAGGCACAGGAAATTGACCTCACAGTAAATTCTTTACAGATTCGGTCATGTTTTTACCATCCACTTAAACTTGCATACATAACCTGAGACTGTACCTCTGGATCAAGGAATATGACAAGCCAAAATAAAATCAAGTCAAATTAAAGAGCAAGAAAAAGCTGCAAGCAAAACAAGAATGAAATTTAAAAAAATAGGAGAAAAAATAAAATAAGAAAATATGAAAAATTGGTTGTGACTGCAAAACCGTAAGTATTAAATAAAGAAAGAAGTCAGAAGCTGATTCAGAAGCGTCCGTGTTGTAGTTGACAAGGGATGAGAAATACTAATGGACTTTTTTTAATGGGTGCTTTGATGGATGAGAGAAGAAATGATGTAAAAGTAAATGTAGTGGTGTCTGAACATAAAGTATGGTGAAATTATTTTTAAAAAAAGGGAAATAAAAATAAAATAAAATAAAAAAAGGCATTGCAAATAAAAAAAAAGGACATGTAAATGTGTGCCTACCATTTTCCAGATAAGAAGGGGCCGTACCTTCTGAGGGGTCAAGGCGGCGAGCCCGCCTCCCGTGTTTGGAATTGTTGTGTACAAACATGTTGTCTGAGACAGCCAGCACGTGGCCATCCACATTGACTGTTGTTGATACAACAACCTGGAAGAGAAAACAAAACCTCACATTTCAAAAATCCTGCAGATTTTCCCCGAATCAGGTCTCGTAAGACACAACAGCATCCTGCTACTTTTCTGTTTCTATTTAAACCGAGTGAATGACATCTGTGAATACATCTTTGTTTACGTGGTGACCACTGGTGATTTTTTAACTCACAATTGTTTCTCTTCAGAACCTGCTACACTAATTAGAGTTTAATCTCCTATTATGCTAACAAATTAATTCAATTCAGGGAAATATTCTTCTAGCCATTAGTTTCAGAAACACCCCTCTAGCCACTCATTTTAAAAGCTGCTGTTTTGATTGATCTGTTGATATATTGATTAGATAGTTTATCTAATTAAAATTTGTTCACTTGAGACTGTCTTCAAATGAAGGGTTGTGAGGATTCCAAATAAAAAAAGCTTAATAAATCAGGAACCGTCGTAACTCCCCATTTTTTCTTCAGTAAATGATCTCCAGGTCAGTTTTACAATTACATTTAATGTCTGATAATGAACTTTTTTGCATCTGAAAAGGCCGAGTTGAATATGAATAGTGAAAGTGTTTTCAATCCATGAAAAGTATCCCTTCTCAAGTTCATTTGGATGGTGATTGACCCTGGTATGTCAATGGAATTTCCTCCTTTATTTTTGAGTGAAAGGCTCCTATTCTTGTGTCCAGGTTCAGAGTCCGGCCATAGAAGAGATGATGGATAGGGCCTCCTTTGGCTTCCAGCTGCTTCTCAGTGGAAAATGGCAAAGGAACATATGCAAAAGGCACAACCTTCCCGATGCCAACACCTCCACAATGGAGCTGAGGGACTCCTTCCCCTTCCAGAGGCGGCAGCGCGGGAGCACCAGCCGGGGAGGAAACCTCGAGCTGAGCTGTGCAGGGTTTGTGTGGAGCACGGCTTCGTAGGTGGATCACTGCTATCCCAGACTGACATTTACATCTTATTTAAATACTCCAGCATGGGCCTTTGCTGTGGTTCCAGGTTGTCTAAAGGAAGCGGCCGCTGCAGCGTTTCCTTTGGGGTGAGTGAAGTCCGTAAAGTCACTGCCTAAGTCAGACCTCATCAACACAGCTGGCCAGGGCAGACAAAGGTAGGACAAATCTTAGCCCACCTTCCATTCACCTAAATTTTGGTTATAACAAAGGTGATTGCAGGGTTCTCCCACCAGCTTCTAAACCAAAACACTTAACGAACACAAGTGGAAGGAGAGCAGAGAGCCTCCTTCGCACAGAGCTGGTCCAAGGCATCAGAAGAAAATTCTTGTCTGCTTCTATGTTTTGGATCACCTCTGATCCTGTTTCTTATTCACAAGCCATAATTAGCTCTCAGCTATCACAGCACCTTTTCTGTGTATCCTGCCTCCTTGGAGACAGCCATCTGCGGTACCCTTTAGAACAGCCCGAGGGCAGCTCTCTGCCAGGCTGCTCTGCCTCCCCAGCTTTCTCCTCCCAGAAGTGGACACCTTCCCTCTTGTCAACATCCACTTCAGAGAGTGCTGAGGTTGCACGCTCAGCTCGGCCACAGAGCTGCTGCCAGGCCGCTGGGCTATCCTCTTTCACTCTTAATGAGATTCCCAGACTTCCAGAAATATCGCAAAACATGCAAGCGTGATTTCCAGCCAGGATTTCTGGGTTTGGTTCCTAGAACACGGTGTATTAAAGAGACAGAGCAAGGTGTATATGAAAATGACAACTATTTTTGTTCTGTCATGTCTATATAGGTCAGCCACCAAGGGAAAATACTGTAGTTCAGCAAAAGAAAGTCGACGTGCTACGCTTTGTTATATCGCCTCACTCCTGCAGTGCACCTCCACAAAGGTGCTGAGGCAGGGAAACCAGGTAAAAATACTGTTCAAGATCTGACATCCTGTTAAGTCCAGTTAAACCTTCTGAGAGGCAAGGAGATTAGCTAAAGAGACCCAGGAAAGGCTTTCTAGTGCCTACTGGCTCCATTGTCGACCACAAGATCACTCGTGACTGATGCTTCATTTAGTCATCAGTGAGACAAAGAGGACATTTCCACTCATTCCAGGTTTGACCTTCTGTTCTGTTCAGTTGGATCAATACCACCGATGCCACGTGAAGCTGAGATGCATGAAAAATGGAAGCCTGGCTCGATTGTTTTGAAGGAATATATTTTTTTTCCAGCTACAGATCTTTTCTGTTGGCTGGCTCTAGGGTGCTGGCTTCCCCGGTTGGTTGGCTGTGCATGAAAACAGATGTCACATGTTTTGCTATCAAGTTTAACCACAAGTAATTCTTCTCCAAACTGAGAAAGTCCTGAACATCTCAATACTACTTTATTGCTGGAATCAAAAATGAATCATTGTGAAATATTTTGGAACAAAAAAAAGGCACTTATTTCCTAACGAGCCTTTCGAATGACCCCAGATACAGAGGAAATAATTTGTCCATCCCATCAGATGCCTCTCTGTAGTGCTATGATTCACCACAGGATATCTCAAAAGCTGTAAGGAGAAAGTGAAGCATTAAACATTTTCTAACACAGTTGAAACAAAAATCTGTGGGTTGGGCCACCACTGCTGGATCTACAAGTCGTGAACCAGAGAAGTGTGAGCTCCAAACTTCCCTCTGCTCCAAAGTTGTGTTTTTAAAGTAAGATCAAACTACTCAGTCTACGTAAAAGCTCTGCAGGTCTAAGCAAAGAGCACACTACAACACAAGGTAATAGTAGGAAGGAAAATTAGGGAAATAATTCCTAAGGGAAGATCCACTTGCTCCAACATTGATCTATTACAGACCCCTGCAGAACTTCAGAACCAGCACTTGAATTAATGGGAGCAATGTAAAATACTGACAGCATTTTTTAAAGCACTGGAACAACACTGAGTGGAAGCACTGACTGTGTTTTTTCATAAGTTCAAGATGAAGATGTGATCAAGTTTTGTGTACATCATTTATGCATTTAGAGGGATCTGTACCTGGAATCTTCGCATGTCTCGTGGGTTGCCTGCATTCTTCAAACAGTTCTGATTGCACTTGAGGAAAAACTTTAGAAAGAATCTATAAAAATACAAAATTGAAATCTATTAGATTCATCAAAATGTAAATCCAATTTTTTAGAAGTTTAATAAAATCTAATCATAAATAGTTATACCCAAAAGAATACTGGTAGTGAAATATTACTTTCCTATTCGTTAATGAACTTATTTTAAAGCATAAGATCTCTGTCATAAACAGAACATTATTGCCAAGGAAAGGCAAATTTATATTTTTAATTTTTCAACAACTACAAACGTATTGACTCCAGGCCATATCCTTAGCTCGGTGTGGGAAAGTTGATTTCAATGACTCATTGACTTCAAAGGCAATGACTTACACCAGATGAGAGTTTGTCTCTATTTTTTTAATACTTTTCATTTTTTCACAACTTATATTAGCAGTAATGACCTCTACGCCGAAAAATTCCAAAGGTAATGATCAATCTTCTGAAAAACACTTGGCTTTGCCCCCGGTTTGGAAACTCGAGTTATTCAAAGGGACTCAATCCAACTCCTGCTGACTCCAGGGAGATCCAGGCAGGATCTGCCCACCGGCAAGGCCCCGGCTCCCTCATTGTTTTTGAAAGGGAAGGAACATGGCAAATTAGGCTCTGTCTTACGACCTCGTCAACCTTTGCCAGCCTTCAGCTGTGAGGAGTCGCTCTACCCAGGGATCGAAACCCAGCTTATTTCTGCTGAGCGGCAACCAGCAATTATTTAGGACTAACCCTTATCATCCAGGCATCTCCCCATAAACCGTTTTTGCAGCAACGCTGCCTCAGGGGAGCCCAGCAAGCACTTAGAGGGAAGGGGGAAGCTCAGGAAGATGGGAACTCCTTTCTGCCGCCCTCCTGCACCGCAGGAACGAGCTGATCTGGGAAGTCTCCACCCTGCAGGTGAAGCAAACCGCAGGATCCTCAGGAGGATGTTCGCAGCCTGACATCATCTTTTTTACTTATGCACTCATGTTTTCATATTTCATAATAAAGCTATGTCTTAATTAGGTTTTCTGGCTAATGACTGACCACTAATGACGAGCAAAGCTCAGGATTTTCTCCTCAGCCAGAGTTCCTCAGATGCTCCAATCCAGCAGCTTGTGCTGCCCAACTTTGCACATGCTGAACAGTGAGGTTAGCCAGAACCTCCACATTCAGAATATGAACAATTTAGATTTATTCATTCATGTCAGTATTTGTAAGTGGATAGGACTATTATTGCTGCACACACCTCACAGAAGTTTCCATGTGCCAAGAGCACCCAAGAGGGCCCAGCCATGGCCAGCAGAAAGAACAACAGTGGCTGCAAACACATCCTGAGAAGCTTTGAGGGTCATACAGGAGCATTATGGGAACATCCCCTAAAAAACTGGTGCTTTTAATCCCAGCTCTTCATCCTCCATTAAACCTTGAGCAGCACCCTGATGTTACCCCAGGACACGAATGCTGGAGGAACAATCTCTCATATCAGAGAGGCAAGCAGGGAAACAACCGGGTTTACTGAAACTGCATAAATAAATCGATGCTGACAGTTCAGCTGAATTCACATTTCTTTAAAACTTCCTGTCCCAAAACCTGTAAAGGGGTTTCAGCTGTCAAGCTGAAGAAGATCTGGATTTCTGAGGTGGATGACAGGATCTCCTAGTTCTGATGCTCAGGTTTTCTGGATGCTGTTGCTGGGCATTATCAGCAACTCCGTGAAGCTGCCTCCATGCAAGCCACAAGCTCCCCTTAATTTTATCTGCCATGTTTTGGAGGTTTTGTGTTTTGGATTAGTTTTTACTTTTTTTTTCTGTTTTTATTTGAGATACTTATTCTCTCCAGACCATTTGATTATAGGCCAGGCTCCCAGCCCATTGCAGGGGGCTTGGAGCTGGATGATCTCTGAGGTCCCTTCCAAGCCAAACCATTCCACGATTCTATTATTCCAAAGGTAACATCCTTCCTTTCAGACCTCTATTTGGGTTTGCACAGCTTTCACCACCCAGACTGTGAGTCTGTGCAAGGCCTCCACACAGAACCAGGCAGTTCTGGGGACCCAGGAGCTGGGACCAGCCTCCAGCTTTATGGCTCCTTAGTGCCACATCCAGGCTGAAGAGCAGTATCTTATCTGCTTCTATTTTTTTTTTTTTTTCCTGTTCTCAAATGGGTGTTGTGAGGCTTATTGAGCTAATGTTTGTAAATTGCTCGGAAATTCTCCAATGAATTGTGCACTAGGAATGCTAAGTATTGCTCCTCGTGGATTGTTTTTAGCGTGAAGCATTCATGATGAATTGTTTCTATACAGAGAGCTCACATCCTGTCAAAGAAAAAGGGCCATTAAGCACCCTTTCACTAAACATCAACTGGAACCGGTATTTGTTCAATTATTTGGTGAAAAGGACCCACTCTTGGTGAAATTAGACATCATCAAGTTTATTAGGATGGCTCTGAGCACCGGGCTAAATATTGATGCCAGGCTGGAGTGAACACAAGCAGCACTCATTTCAGCTCCACTACATTCCTTGATGCTGAGATATTTCATTTCTCTCTTTACTCTGTGCTTTCAGAGTCCACGGAGCACAGGTGGCATCAGGACAAGCTTTTCAGAGGAAGACAACGGAAGTTAAAAACCACATTCCCAGGCAAGGTGCTCCTCCGTGCCAGGAGGAGATGATTGACTTGGTGGTTGCTCTCAGCTAACCACCAAGGACTGTGGGCACTGCAAACCCATCCCTCCCACCCCAACCACCAGGTCTGTGTGGCAGAGCAAGAAGCAAGGACCTGAGCTGAGCTCTGCTTGGTCTCATCTCAAACTTTGAGACAAGAATGAGAATTCAAGCCTTCCTAGGTCTGGCTCTCCCTGTTATATTTTGTATTATAAGCAGAAATTTTACCCTTCTTTAATAAATACAGCCTTGCAAAAACAGCCTTCCCAAACAGGCTAAGCTGCTCCTAAAATACTGATAGGGAGAAAAATGCACTCTTTGCCATGTCCCCTTGCTCTGATTTTTTTCCCACTGCTAGAATGAGGCCTGCTACCCTCTTAATTAAAATGTATTACCTTCCACAAGACTCCACTATTTTAAGCTAAAATTTACATCTTTTATTAACTCACCTCACCTATACACTTAGCTCTGATGCCTCTCGCCGCCCATCTGCCATCCACATACAGAGAGTCACTTGATATTCCACCCACCAATTTTTCCTAACAACCACTGTGCAATTAAACTCAACACGTTCTGTTGCGAGGTAAATTAGGCACACCTGCGGCCAGCCTGCATTTGAACCGCATCAGAAAAGGACCTAACAAGGTGAGAGCAGTACCACAAAGTTATAGGCCTGTCAAGCAATTAGGTTTTCACTTCTGGGACATCCGCACAGTGCAATTATGCTACACATTACAACCTGGCTAATCTTCTGAACAAATGTCATGTCTCGGAGAAGCGAGGAAAAGCAGTTCATCTGCAAATGTGGCTGCTCTTAAGCCTCCACCTTATGCACATAACAACCTACAGGAGACTTTTTTTTGTGAAATGAAAGATGGTTTTTTTTCCACAGAAGATTTTTTAAACCCTGCAAGTGCTTTTTCATGCTGTTCACCTCTTCTTAACCTCTGTGAGAGGAGGTGTTGTAGCAAATAGACCAGAAAGACTTTTGTACTTAAATTTCAACACTAAGCAAGAAAATCCTCGGTGCTATAAGCACGAGCAGGGGCTTCAGTTTGGTCCAATTCAAATACTGCTTGGCTAAAGGAACATTTGTGGAAGAAAACCACCTATTATACCCCAGAAACACCATTAATAAAATGTATTTCCGCCAGACCACAAACCGAAGCATCATTCATGCAAATAAACCTCAGCAGGAAGTAAATGCTTCATTCTTTTTATTTCAGATATGGAGTCTGAGTGTCCTGGTGACAACACCCTGAGCCAAACTCTGCACTGGTGAGAGGCAATATCTCAGTGGAGCCATGCAGGGATAGGCACCTTCCACCCCTTTATCCATAAGATCTTCCCAACATCCAACAGACAGAGGACACAAAACCTTGCCAGCCCTGCAGACAGCATTTTGTTTTACTCCAATAATTCCGTTTCATTTTTATCTGTATTTCAGGTACACAGTTTTGTTGTTCAATTAAGCCTGCAGACGAGATCTTGCTGTACTACAAAATACAGAATTGTTAAGATATGACAGGTCTGCTCTACTTTCATGAGTAAAAAAGATGGGATTCGGATCATTATCTGTGATTTTGAAGTTCTTTGGAGGAGAAGCTGTCCACAGGGGCACAATGCTGTTAGGGGGTGGAGGAGGGAGAGAGCAGGAGAAGGGGAGACATTTGAAGTCAAATGGTAATTCTCATCCTTTACTCGATTACCCTTTAATTGGCTTTTTCCTAAGAAATATCTGACAACCACTTTGCATATCTCTTTTCCAGAGCCTAGTAAACAAAGGATTTAATACTCTTGTTATGAAAGGAAAAATCTTTCCTCTGTCAGAAAATCTTTGGCTTTAGCACCAATAAACTCTTTATTACTGCTAAACTTGGATTTGCTGCTCGATCGCAGAGAGGCGATAAAAACTCTAACCTGTCATTAGTGCATTATGCTTAATTGTGTACAGTATGTTTCCAGTTGCATCTGTTGGCCCATTATCAAAATGACCATTATGTACACTAATTCCCTGACCCTGTCTTTATTTCCCTAAAGAGTCATAATCTTTCACAGTAGGTATCAGAGTAAATCAAGCTTGAAATATGGGCTTTATTTACTTGTTTCTCCCAGGCAGAGTGGAAGTCTGTAGCTAAAGACAAACTGCTGGAGATAAGTAGCAAGGAGGTTGTAATATTCTCCTTGGAGGAAGGGTGGAAGTTACTGGGTGACCACTGGAAGAGTAAAAAATGTCACTCCATTTCCTTTTCAGTTCAGTTTTGTTATCAAAGGTAACATAAGGACAAGGAAACATTTATTTCTGGTTTGTTGTTCAACTACAAGAGAAATTAAACTGATGTTTGGAAATAACTAAGCCATAAGTAAATAAGTAAGGC